GAAAAAAGAAGCTCAGAAGCACAAGCGCTGGTACAAAATTGGGTAAAACAAACAGGAGGAATTCAGGTCTGAGTGTACAAAATATTGATTAACTGAACTGTACCTTTTCTACTGCCTCATCTCGATTTTCTTTCTGGGAACTAGAATCCGAATCGTCACTTTCGATCAACGGAACTTCACAGTCGGCCGGAAGTTGAATCTCCTTGCCGAAAATCTTAATCGCAGGGTCCTTAATTTCCAGCATTTTTTTTGAAGACGAAAAGAACAGGGAAAGGAAGAGAAAAGGAAACGAAAATCGAGAGAGAGAAAAAGGAATTGGATATTGGATGATATTGGATATTGGAGGCAGTCTGGGCTGGCATTGGGCAACTCGGTCCTCGTTTTTGATCCGTTTAAGCAAGAGGTGGATGCCACGTCATCGTCCCATTTTCATTATCAGCCACAAGTTCCTTCGTATTCTGATTCTCGGTTGCACGCACATTTTGGTGCACCCTTCTCCCTTTTTTCTTTTATTAATTAAACTATTATATTGCTTAATTTCTCCATTTTCCCCCTTTTTATATTCCCTTTCCTAATTATTTTTAAGTGTATCTTGACTAATTTTTTCCTCATATTTATTTTTTTAAAAAATCACCATCTATTTTTCGACGAATTAAAAGCACATGAAATTCCAAAACTACATAAATTTTGGATCAAATTATTGGAAAAAGAAAAGTAAATAAAGGAAAATAGTAAAAATTCCTACTTTTTATTTTCCGACGTGGCCCACGCATGGAAAAAGCTTCCCAACTTTTTCCCAAGTAGTCAAACTACTAATACGTCTAATCCTCCCTCCACGTCTTCAAAATTCGACACGTGGGACAAATCTACAGCTTTTACCTTTCACTGCACTTTGTCTCCGAGCTAAATTCTCTTTTACACAACGCGACACGTGTCCCACTAGTGATGGCTTTTAAATATAGAAATTTATGCTATTGGACCACGTAAGAGTAATTAAAAAGCAATGCAAACAAAACCCTTTTGTCTTTCGGTGTAAAAAGAGTCAACAGTTTTTTAATTAAAAATTAAAATAAAATGCAATTAATTTAATAATAAAACATAAAACTAATTAATATGTCTACTTCATGGGTAAAGTTTTTCCAATTACATTATCTTAATAATAAGGACGGTCGCGTGGGCGGTTGGAGGATAATTAACCAAGTATTTATAATTAAAACAATGTATTAAGGTATTGATTTAATGTTTAATGTTGAGCATTAATTTGAGGGTGTGACACTTGGTAAGTGCTCATTATAATAAGCTCTACTTTTCTTGTTTAAAAAATATACCAAAAAAAAATCTTCCTCACTTCTCGTAATAATTTAATTTCTCATATCTTTACGCTTACGCCTCTCATGCAACCATTTTAATTTTAGACATTGTTTTAATTAAAAAAAACATATATTCTTTTCCTACATGTTAGAAATTATAAAATAATACACTTCAGATCCACATTAGTTGGAGAGGGGAACGAAACATTTGTTATAAGAGCGTGGAAACATCTTCCTAGTAGACATAGTTTAAAACCGTGAGGCTAACGACGATATGTAACGGGCCGACTAGGAGATCCCACATTGGTTCGAGAGGAGAACGAAACATTCCTTATAAGGGTGTGGAAATCTTTCTCTTGCGCGTTTTAAAACCTTGAAGCTGATGACAATACGTAACGAGCTGACTTTGAGATCCCACGTTGGTTGAAGAGAGTAACGAAAAATTTCTTATAAAGGTGTGGAAACCTCTCCCTAATAGACGTGTTTTAAAACTGTAAGATTGACGACGATACGTAATAGGCTGACTCTGAGATTCCACCTTGGTTTGAGCGGGGAACGAAATATTCCCTATAATGATATGAAACCTCTTTCTATACGTAACACGCCGACTGTGAGATTCCACCTTTGTTGGAGAGGGGAACGAAGTATTCCTTATAATAGTATAAAACCTCTTTCTATACGTAACACGTAGAGGAAACGAAGTATTCCTTATAATGGTATGGAAACCTCTTTCTAGAAGGTACGTTTTAAAATCGTGACGACAGTACGTAACAGGTCGATTGTGAGATCCCACATTAGTTGGAGAAAGGAACGTTTTAAAACCATGATGGAGATATGCAAGATGTCAACTATGAAATCCCACATTAGTTGGAGAAGGAAACGTTTTAAAACCATTATGGAGATACGCAAGACGTCAACTATGAGATCCCACATTAGTTGAAGAGGGAAACAAATCTTTTCTTATAAAGATATGAAAATGTTTCTCTACATTGGTGGAACAGGAAACGAATCTTTCCTTATAAAGATATGAAAATGTTTATCTAGTAGGCGCATCTCAAAGTAAACAATATTTAATATCGATGAACTTGAAGGATTATGACTCATGTCTCGAATTCCCGAAAAAAAAAAAAACATAGAGCTGTCGAATCTTGTTATTATTGGAAGCATCAATTTTTTACCATTGTTAGCCAATCAGAATTGAAACAAAAATCACATAGTACAATAATAATAATAATAAAAAGAAGGCACAGAATAAGTATTGGAAAAGTTCTTAAGACAAAGGTCTGGAAACAAGAGAAAAATTTGAAGTCACTGTGGGGAAGGAGAAATCAATGGAGAAGGAGATGGATCCGCCGCCGGAGCTGGGGCTGGATCCGGATCAGCTTCAGGGGCTGGAGATGGAGCTCCGTTTTGATTAACTCTTGAAAACCCAAATTTCTTAATGAGTTCATTAGCAATCAGCTCGTTAGCCTTGTCCGAAGGGTGATATTCATCCCAAAACACATATTTGCTTCTATCTTTGCACAGCACCGACGCCGGAACGCATGTAAGGGCGGGCCGGATCCTCCCAAATGAGCAACATGGCGAATCCGAGTTACTAAACCCTGCACAAAACAAACAATTTCCATTTCCTTTTAAAAAGGTCGAACCGTATGGTAATTCTGTTTGTTTCTTGTTTGTTATTTTCCATACCATATTTGCCGGGGTTGCTAATAACGTCGGCGACAACATCATAAGCATCTCCGAATTTGTAGGTGGCATTTGGAAGCCTGGTGGCGAGGCCATCAAGAAGGCCACTGGCAGCTTTGTTGAAGCTGAGGGCCAAATTGTTGGTTCTGTCTTGGCAATCGCCGGATGAACTGAGTACTCTTTGCAGCGGAATGCAGCCCATTGGACCCAGCCCAAACGCCATCAATTGCCTTGCCCCCAAACTGTATAACAACTGCAAAACAAAAACCCATTAGAAAACGGAGGTTTTTAATTTGAAGTGGGTGTTTACTTTAGAAATTAAGAACCTTGAGTTGATCGCGAAGGGTTTCCATCAAATAAGTGATGAATGTTTGATCGTTGTATTTCCACGAATCGGAGTAAACGGGCATGAGATAATTGTTAATGAAATCGTTGCTTCCCAAAGCAACCACGTATCGAGCTTCTTCGAAGAACTCCTTGGCCTTTTCTTTCCCGATTTTGGCTTTGATCAGTTCTTGCGTCCCTCGGAAGAGCTGAATTTGTTTGTACAGACCAAACCGCTGAATCTGCAGGTTAATTCAATCTATATCTTAATAAATTGCTTCTTTTAATTTGTTAATTTGGGTATGAATTCGAAACTCACGAAGTAGCCCCCAGTTTCGTTCAAGATTCCTCCACCCCCAGATGCGTAATTCACTCCATTTTCCAGAATTACATCTTCACTTAACGAGGGATCGAGAAAAGCCGGTGGTCTGGGTAGACCCATTTCATCCCCTGTGATAAAATGATTGGAGATTAGTGAAAAGTAACAAAATTAATGATATAATTAAAGGGGAGGGTGGGGTTAATCAGGATACCGATAATGTCTGCAACAGTGCGGCCATTGCTGAACCTTCCATTGGGGAGTCCATTGCCGAAGTCAATGCCGTACCAGGGCAAGTTTGCCTGAGCTAAGCTCCTTGAAAGGTACATATTATTTCCAACGTCGGAGAGTGAGTCGCCGAATATGAACTGCACCGTCTTGCAGTGGCAGCTGGGAATGGCGGCGGCTGCTAAGAGGGTGAATAGCAGGAAACAGAGTGATGGTGCAGAGGAGTTCATGGTTGATGAGGAAGGGTGAATTGGGCGTGGGCATGGTGGTCGATTGTGAAGGTTTTAAGAGAGGATAGGATGTTGTTGGGTTGATAAACAAACAATTGGTGATTCAAACCTACTGCAGCTACTTTGGTTTTTGAAAATTCTGGGCTCAGATGGTGACCTACTTCAGGTTGCTTCAACCGTGGGCTTAAGAATTATTAACATTCTTTTAAAAAGATGAACTTTAGAAGTGTTATCTCGCACCAGATCGCAATAACCCTGGAAAACCATCCAAAGGCAGATGCATTTTAGTATGAACGTATAGAGCTACTACGCTTTAAAGGGGTGGATTGAGATGCGTTTTAAAACGGAGAGGTCGATGGCGATGCGTAACTGACACACCGACAACATCCAATAACGAAATAGACAATATGTAGTAGCGGTGGACCTTAAAAAAAAAAAACTCCAATTCCCCATGAGGTTTTTCTCACAAAACTGCAACCAAAAGGTGGCGTGATCAGTGATAGCACGAAATGGGTTTATTTTATTTTGTCATAGTGATATTTTTCAAACAATTTTGTTTTTATTGTTTTTTTTATGGAGGCAAGGACGGTAAGCCACGACACGTAGGTTCGTAGCTGAGTTGGCGTTAATTAATTGGCTGCATGAATGATATCTTTTCTCCCGTGGAAGAGCTACAAACAAAGCTAAGAGAGTGGAAACGTGGCACAATGCTAGTCGAATATTACTAACTATAATTAAATAAATTAAATATATGAAAAAGGGTATCCTAAGAATCTAGTTCAATTATCCAATTCTAATATCCATCGTCCATTCTCTCCATCCAACGGCCAGCACACACTCATATCTCAAACCATATCCGTTAAATATATAAAAATCACGCATCGCACTCCAACCCCCATTACTCCATTTCGAGTTTCACTCCCCTGCTCGACGAAATGGCCTCCGTAGCGCTCAAATCCTTCACCGGACTCCGTCAATCGTCGCCTGAGAAGCCCCATTTCGTCACTCAAACGAAGGCCACCCCGAACCCCCAATTTCGGCGTCGATTTTATGTTTCCGCTGCCAAAACTAGCCCTAAAATCGCCGGCCGCAACCTCAGAGTTGCGGTGGTTGGCGGCGGCCCTGCTGGAGGATCGGCCGCTGAAACTCTCGCCAAGGGTGGCGTTGAGACTTTCCTGTTCGAGCGGAAGCTCGACAACTGCAAGCCTTGCGGTGGGGCGATTCCGCTGTGCATGGTTGGTGAATTCGATCTCCCGTTGGATCTGATTGACCGCCGTGTCACGAAGATGAAGATGATCTCCCCATCGAACGTTGCCGTCGACATCGGCCAGACCTTGAAACCTCACGAGTACATTGGGATGGTTCGGCGAGAGGTTCTGGACGCGTATCTTCGCGAGCGAGCCGCTGAGAATGGAGCTAACGTGATTAATGGCTTGGTCATGAAATTGGACATTCCGAAAGAACGAAATTCACCGTATGTCCTTCACTACACTTCGTACGATGGAAAGAAAGGAGGCGTCGGAGAGAAGAAGACATTGGAGGTTGACGCCGTGATTGGTGCCGACGGAGCCAATTCTCGCGTCGCCAAGGCGATTGACGCCGGCGATTACGATTACGCCATCGCATTTCAGGTAAATCGATTTTAGGGTTAGGGTTTATTTAAGGAGAAATTACTGAAGCGGCATTTTGTAGTATTTACTCGCCAAATAGAATGAACTGTGTTAAAGTAGAGTACTGGGGGTTTTTGATTTCAGGAGAGGATCAAAATCCCAGATGACAAAATGGTGTATTACGAGAATCTTGCAGAGATGTACGTAGGTGACGACGTTTCGCCGGATTTTTACGGGTGGGTGTTCCCAAAATGCGACCACGTCGCCGTCGGCACCGGCACCGTGACTCACAAGGCCGATATCAAGAAGTTTCAAATAGCCACACGAAACAGAGCGAGAGACAAGATCTCAGGGGGGAAGATCATCCGAGTTGAAGCACATCCAATCCCAGAGCACCCACGTCCACGAAGGTTGGCCGGGAGAGTGGCACTGGTGGGCGATGCAGCCGGGTACGTGACAAAATGCTCTGGCGAGGGCATATATTTCGCAGCGAAGAGCGGGCGAATGTGTGCAGAAGCAATCGTGGAGGGGTCGGAAAACGGGAAGAGAATGGTGGAGGAATCAGACCTGAGGAAGTACTTGGAGAAGTGGGATAAAACATACTGGCCGACTTATAAGGTTTTGGATGTGTTGCAGAAGGTGTTTTACAGGTCGAATCCGGCGAGGGAAGCTTTTGTGGAGATGTGCGCGGACGAGTATGTGCAGAAGATGACGTTCGACAGTTACTTGTACAAGAGAGTGGTGCCTGGGAACCCATTGGAGGACTTGAAATTGGCTGTCAATACCATCGGAAGCTTGGTGAGAGCCAATGCTCTGAGCAGGGAGATGGACAAAGTCAGTTTATGAGAGAACTGTGTCTAATTATAAGAAAAAACATATATCTTTAGCTTCCCAAAGCACCCAGAGATCATCATTTCAGGTTAATGAATCCTCATACTTCACTTTTGTGGAGTTGATTTTCCTTTACTCAAATCTGTGTGCGCAATGAAAGAGACCATTGCTTTCAATATTAAGAGCCACCCTTCAATGGAGTTGAAAAGGCAATTAGTTAGATTAATTGAATTTGATTCTATAAAGCATATGTAAGCAATTAATTCTTATTGGTTGAACATTGGGTTGCGTGTTAAGTAAGCCTTCCTACTTTTTATTCAAATTACTAATTTAATACAGAATTAGATCACAAATTCGCTACGAAGAACTATTATATGAAAAGGGACACGAAAAGAAGAAGTAAACTAGAACTTAAACTGGGTATTAGTTTATTCAGTGAGAGAGAGAGAGAGAGAGGGGGGAGTGAGTGGACAATCGGGAACGTTGAAGCGATGGAGAGAAGTAACGGCTAAGATTGGAGGATGAAAATGCTTGAAAAAGGGGCAGGATTCGCATTACGGCGGTGTATACGGTAGAGAGAAAGAGAAAGGGAAACAATATATATAAACCTTGGCTATTCAAAAAGAAGTGCTACGCCCAAGGCTTTCAGGCGGAGATTTCTGCGACCCACAATTCCACTTTCGGGAATGCCCTTTGGAGCCTAATAAATCTCCGATTACCCACTTTCCTCTTTCATTTCGAGCTACGATCTTCCTGGGTTTCAAGGTTCCATTTCTCTTTCTCCTTTCTTTCTTTCTTTCTTTCTTTGTTTTTCACTTCCTCGGGAGTGAACTCTGTTTTGGGTGGAATGTTGATTCATTATTTATCATAGATCGATTTGTTTCTGTTGGATTCAAATGCTATGGATCTGACTGACTATTGCATAATTTTGTTTATACGATCGTTTCTGGAAGCTCAGTTCTCTGTTTATGAAGCTGGGTTTTGGATTAGGAACTCTTTTATCCTTTCATTTTGGAACATGAGCTAAAGGAAGGTAGTGGTTAGAAATTTTCACTTTTGTGGAGTTCTCTGTCTTGGTTCCCACCCACCCCTAGAAGGGTAGATCTCAAACGATGTTTCGTAGGATTGAGACTTTACATTTATGTTGTTCGCGTAGAATGGTTCTTGTTTTCTTAGGATCTTTATTTTTCTGAAGGAATCATATGAACCCACTTGTTGAAATTGGAGCAGTTGTCTTGATTCTTCTTACTAGAGTTGAATATCTATTCTCCTGATTGCTGTACAAAAAAGATGAATTTACTTACCCTTCTTACCAGATTAGCATTTCTGATGGTTTTATATTGTTGGAGATTCACCAGATTATGAAAATGACTGACACTTCCCCTGCCTCCCCTTGATAGAGTCAGATATGGAAGCAATATCGGCAGCTACTTTGTCCATTGGAGCAACTGCATCACATAATTCTAAACTCATCTCATTTTCTCAATCAAAATCTGCAGCCTTGAGGGTCAATTCACGAGAGTCTCTTCCAAGCTTCTGCGGCCTCAAGGCAGCTTCGTTTCTTCGATGCGACTCGGAGTCATCTTTCCTAGGGAACCAGAGCAGTACCGCCCTATGGCGTCATCTTGCTCCGTCAGCTCAAAGAGTGAACCAGAATGTATATAAAAATCTTCAACCTCAAGCCTCTTACAAAGTGGCTGTTCTTGGAGCTGCTGGAGGTATAGGTCAGCCTCTGTCGCTTCTCATCAAGATGTCGCCGTTAATTTCGACCCTGAACCTTTATGATATTGCAAATGTTAAGGGTGTTGCTGCTGATATTAGCCACTGTAACACTCCCTCAAAAGTTCAGGCTTTCACTGGACCCTCTGAATTAGCCAATGCTTTAAAAGATGTAGATGTTGTGGTCATACCTGCTGGGGTTCCAAGAAAGCCTGGTATGACTCGTGATGATCTCTTTAACATAAATGCTGGCATAGTGAAAACTTTGGTCGAGGCAGTCGCTGATAATTGTCCTGATGCATTCATTCATATCATTAGCAACCCTGTGAACTCGACTGTGCCGATAGCAGCAGAAGTTCTAAAGCAGAAGGGCGTGTTTGATCCAAAGAAGCTTTTCGGGGTTACTACATTGGATGTCGTCCGGGCAAACACGTTTGTCGCTGAAAAGAAGAACCTTAAACTGATTGATGTTGATGTACCGGTTGTTGGGGGGCATGCGGGTATAACAATTCTTCCTTTGCTGTCAAAGACTCAACCATCAGTGAGCTTTACAGATGAAGAAGTTCAAGCACTGACTGTTAGGATTCAAAATGCGGGAACTGAGGTCGTGGAAGCGAAGGCAGGGGCGGGATCTGCTACCCTTTCAATGGCATATGCTGCAGCAAGATTTGTCGAATCATCTCTTCGTGCTTTGGATGGAGACAGTGATGTCTATGAGTGCACATTTGTGCAGTCTGATCTAACTGAGCTTCCCTTCTTTGCATCGAGAGTTAAGCTTGGGAGGAAAGGAATTGAAGCCTTTGTAACGTCTGATCTACAGGGTTTAACCGAGTACGAGGAGAAGGCTCTTGAAGCTCTAAAGCCAGAACTGAAGGCAAGCATTGAGAAGGGCATTGCTTTTACACAGAAGCCTTCGGTGGCTGCTTAAAACGACCTTGCTTTTCCGGAACATGCTTGGGGCGTAACAGCATTGAATCCCAAGCACTTCCTTTTGTTTGCTTTTCATTTTACCCCGTCTGATGGAGAACTTCTTTTTGAGATATTAATTGCTGCTGTAGAATATCAAAAAAAGAATGTAGTCCGCTCAATAAGAGTTCCTAGTGATTGAAAATTTTGTAATAACATGGTTGGTAAGACTGTGCACCTCATCTTAGACTCTTAAGATTGATTCTTTTTTGGGTTAATACCCAAATGATATAGAATCTGTTGGTTTGTAAAGTTCTCTCGAGAGAGAAGACCATTCATTGTTACTCCTTGTGTGGTACGAGCCTGTCCACCGTTAGCAGATATTGTCCTCTCTAACTGATGTGGGACCTCACAATCTACCCTCTTAGTAGCGGAGAGATTTCCACACCCTACTTTATAAAATATGTTTCGTTCTCTTCTCTAACTGATATGAGGTCTCATAATTTTCATCGACCAAGTCACTTCCGAAACTTTAGTCAAGCAACTGATCTCCTAGTGTATGACTTGGGTTGCTCGTTTAGTTCATCACAATCTGTCCCGGAAGCCTACAAAATGTGGTGAAAACTAGTAGCTTTTAAATCATCATTCTCATGGAATTTAAGACAGCAGTGACTGGACAGAAATAGTGAATGAGAAATCGAAGAAGGAAATTTGTAATTAGATTCATTGCCTAATAACTTAAAAGAGATTCAGTCGTTACTCATTTTCAATTCAAACCCGAAACTCATCTGTAGAAGCAACTCAAGCTATTTTTTCCAACTTCGATTCAACAGACAAAATGCAGATGATCAAAAGAGCTTAGTCGGACAGCAACTTTGCATCCAACAGGCAACTGTCATCCAGCTTCTGTTGTAATATCATCCTCCCGCCTGTGACAGCAACTTTCCCATCTTCAGAACAAGCCTGTGGCCATTAGAACAAGCTGAATGCTCTGGGGAATTTTCCCTTGTGGGTCAGTCTATATTCTGAGAATCTGAGAATGGATGGTGTTGCTACCAATAATCGTTGCAGGAACACCGACCCTCTCGGAAATGATGGAACTGACTTCGGTCCCTAACAACCACTTTTCTGTTATAAACACTTGAGACATACTTAGCAAAGTTATGACAATCCAGGCAAGTACGAAGATTGTTTGCCACTCTGATGGTTCCTCCTGGCGGGGTTGCAAGAACCCCAAAGGCTATGGCCAATTTCTCACTATGGAAAGAAAGCGCATACCCCTTATCTTCTGCCTTTAAGTTGTGTAATTCAGATGATATTTCAGCTTCATAACCTGCAATCTTTAGCTGCTGGTTGATCTCATCCAGCTGCTTGTAGATCTTGTCCTTCATCGGATGCGAAATATCATCCACAGCAAACTCATGCACCACCCCATTCAGTTCTATTGTGGTGCAGCCGGGTGTAGTATAGATACCCCTTTCCTTCATGAATTTCCTCAATTCAGTTACCTTGTCCCAGTTCCCAGCCGAAGAATAAATGTTCAGCAGCAGCACATAATCACCTGCTTCTTGAGATTTGAGTTCAACCAAATGCTCAATTACGCGCTCCCCAAGGTTTGCATGACCGTGAATTCTGCAAGCTCCAAGAAGGGTCCTCCACATTGTCGCATCTGGATTCACCTCCATTGACATTACGAGCTGATAGGCTTGGTCGAGCATTCCAGCACGACCCAAGAGATCAACCATACATCCATAGTGATGGACGGTGGGAACTATCATGAACTCTTGTCTCATACGATCAAAAAACGCCATTCCTTCATCAACCAGACCACAATGGCTACAAGCAGAAAGAACGGCAGTGAAAGTGTGATCATCAGGCTCAACACCCTTCTTTTGCATCGCCCAAAACGCTTCAATAGCTTCTCTCCCGTGTCCATTCATTGATAACCCGGAAATCATCGCACTCCATGAAACAACATTTTTCTCAGGCATTTTATCGAACACTTCATACGCCTTATCCACACGTCCACACCTCGAATACATGGATATCAGCGAATTGCACAAATTACTCTCGGTATTATAACCGTGCTGTTGAATATGACTATGAATCCTTTCGCCAAATTCCAATGCATTCAAGTCCGCACAGGCTTGGAGAAGAAGTAAACAGGTAACTTTATCAGGTTTGCAGAGATACGTTGGACTCTGCATGATCTCAAACAAACCCAAAGCATCCCTTGTTCGTTTATTTCGAGTTAGACACGAAATCAAAACGTTCCAAGCAACAACATCTCTTTGAGGAATTTCATCGAACAGTTTGCATGCATCCTTAAGTTTGCCACAATGAGAATACAAATCCATCATGGAGGTGAGCAGAAGACTATCCGATTGATGCCCATTTCTAAAGATCCTTGCGTGAATCTGAATCCCACTAAATAATGAAAGCATTCTTATACACGACTTAAGGGCAAAGGAAGAAGACAAAGGATCAGCATGAACACCTTGCCTCTCCATATCTCTGTACATGTACAATCCCTCCAGAGGTGAACGGCTCAACGAATAGGCTCTCAACAGCGTATTGTAATGAGAAACAAATGGGTTCGTCAGCTGAGAGAAGAATCTTCGCGAATAGCCCAATTCGCGAAAAGGCGCGGAAACGATGCGAGTCAAGAAGCGGAGGGAAACAATGGGGTCTTGAATGAAAGAAGTGCGGATCATGTGGGCATGGATTTGCAGCAATTGTGATTTGTGGGTGCATGATTTTATGAGAGAAATCAGCGGCTCTCTATCGAAGTGAAGCGTTGAGTTTTGTTGACGAAATTTGGAAGAAAGCAGAGAGATCGGAGAGTGAAGGAGTGAAGCGGTGGATGCGAAACGAGGAAGGCGAAGAGAATGAGGATGCCGATACGCCGAACAACGGCATCGCCGGAAGATCACAGTCATCTATCAATGGCCGCTGAATCGTTTTAGTTACGCTCGAGCGACAATTCAGCCGTCGTTATGTACTTGTAATGCATTTTATTTAATTTTTATATTACGAATAATAAATTTAAAAAAAAAATAGAGAAAATTAAATTCAAATTAAAATTTGTATTGAAGTCCTTTGCCTTTTCTTCTATGATCAAATGTTCATCAAATCCTACAACTTTGCTGTGTTCGATCACAACGACCAATCAAATCCAACGAACATTAATGTTTTTTTATTACATCAATGGGCTGCCAATACTCGACGAAAACGAGCAACCCATCAACAGATATTTCATTTCTTCATCATCTTCTTCCTCCTCCTCCCCTTGTTCTTGATCATCTCTGCAAATCATTCCACCATTAATGGAGAAATACTGGGAGCCATTGTTGGTTCCTGAAAGCTTCCGTTTCTTGTAGTTGGCCTTGAAGCAGGCTTGTCTAAGCCTCTTTGTATTGTCCTCCAACTGCAAATCTGGTCTCTCCTCCATTAATTTCTTCTCATTCTCTAAAATCTTCAATACATTGCTCAACTTATTCACTCCCTGATCTCCATCTTCCTTTTGAAGCTCCTGCATTCATTTCCCATCGAAATTTTGTCAAAAAAAAAGAGCATCAAATTCCTTGGGAAATATGAAGAGAAAGACATGCCTTAACGTTCTTGATTAGTGTCTGTAGGCTCATGAGCTTCCTATGAGGCCATCTTCTTATACCCAATTCTCTGCATCTCTTCTTCAACAGAGTGAGTCCGACATTCAGCTGTTTAGCCGCCTGAGTTATGGGCATGTAGAAGAACTCAGATATTGCTTCTCTTGACAACGTTTTTGTTGATGCACTGCCACTGCCACTGCTATTGCTCGTTTCTCTGCAGCACTTTCTTTTGGCCTTCCTCATCATCGTCCCCTCGTTTCCCATCCCTCCATTACCATTTTCTCCGCTTCCTTCCTCAAGCCCAAATGCTTCACTCTCGAATTCACTCCAAATCCCAACGCCCCCATCTTCTGCAAAATCAAAACTTTTCAATCTTTTCAACATAAATATGAACAATCACAGATGGGTATACCATGAATCACCTGATATAAAAGTGCTAATAGGATCTATGTCCTTGGGGTTGAAAAACGAGTCATTATTAGCGCAACTCTCAAGCAAAGGAACAACGTCAAAAAAGGTGTCCGGAAACCCAAAATTGCAGTTCCAATCCAACGCAGAATAATTGTCGGTTCTACATAGAGTTAAGTTAAAATATGATGAACAGAGAAAGAAATGGTTAATTATGAAATGAAATTAGAAGCTGTGAAACTTGCCTACAATGGAGAGGAGAAAGATGGCATGATAAAGGAAAAGGGTCTTCAAAGGCCATGGCTTCACACTTCGGCCTCCAAGTGGCGCCCATTCGTCGCGATCGATCACCAAAACAGAGAAAAGAAGTGAAATATGGAAGGAAGGGAAGAAGAAGAGGCAGAAAATGGGGGATATATAATGCTCAGAAAATGGTACGATGAATTGGGGAAGGGAAGAATTGGAGAACGTGCGCCGGCAAAGGGGCATAAAAACCACAGTCCCCATGCATGAACAGATAGAGATATCATAATTTCTTATATGTTTATGATCATCAATTTTCATTTATTGCATTACGGTGTGTGCTTATGAGAGTTACAAGATTTTATAAACTAAAACAAATATATATATATATATATATATCAGTTTTGGATTTTTAATTAATGATGAACAGTAGTGGAATCTGAGCCGTGTTCTTGGCATTATTATTATTTTTTTTATTTTCTTCTTATAGAACACATTATAATTAAGATAACCAATGGAAAGAAGGCACTAAAAACATGAAAAAGAATGATGAACAAGAATCTAAGGCTTTTTAGGGGTCTTAACCATGTCAGTCTGGGATTGATCATTACAATTCCATTGACTGCAGTTTAGAGGACCGAGTTGAGTCATTGATGGAAGTGGATGTTAGTAGTTAAGGTAGATGGGATGGTGATTGTAATGCAATGTAACGCATCGTCCTCTTAAATCATTGGGGAATGTGGGTATTTAATCGAAACCCATCTCATTAATTGGGATTAGAGACAACTTAGTGAGGATCAGTTACATAACAACTTTAATTACGCTTTATTTCTTCAAACTGTTGCTTAGTTATTTGGATTTATGAACCCCAATTCCCCGATTTCATTAAATATTTGTACTAAAATAATGTTGAGTTTGAGATAACACATTCCTGCGTTTTGTTAGAGAGGAGGACAAAGAATTCTGGAGTAGAGGACAAAGAATTCTGGAGTAGAACACCGCCTTATTTAAAGATTTTTCTCTAGCCAATGTGTTTTAAAAACTTGAAGGAAAGCCTA